CACACTTTGTACCTAATTCTGCTGGGGACAGGCTCCCTCCATGACCCTGCATTGAATTAGAGGTAGGAAGATGGATGGATGTTCAAATGATTTCTGCTTCCAGGAAACTTCTCATAGCTTAAAGTGTCAGGGACTGAAGATCAAAGTAGACAGAAGAGGCAGGGGAAACTCGAGTAATGAGGTGTATCTGCAGCCAGTGGGTTGGCAGGGACTATGGGGAAGGAAGGCTTTTAGGAGGAAAAAGGGGGCAGGGTGAGGGAAAGCCTGTCGCAGTAGGATCTGTCACTGGGTGTGCCCCTGTCATCCGAAATGTTGCTGGTGCGGTGGTAAACTTCGGTGTAGCACAGAGAAGAAACACATAAATCTTCACAGATAGGGAGGCAGGAAGGGAGGTTTTCAATAGGAAATGGACCTGAAGAGGGACATGCGATCTGAGATTAGGATCTCTGCCTTCCCTTTTAGTATATTTGTATCATCTCATGAGTTTCTGCTTCTCCTGAGGTGGGTGTGGTGAGTTTGATGTGTTTGTACACTTGATGTGACTTCAGGTGTCTGGGATACAAACCACTTCTTGAGTAGTTACAGTCCCTTTGTGTCCTACTGAGCTTAGGATCTCATGCAAGGCCAGCGTGAAGGGAGTGAGCAGTTATCTTCCAGGTACATGCATCCGCGAGATCCACGAGAAGGGATGCTATTCCCTCAGTGGTCATTTTGAGAATTTTGTAGTTCAGAAAGGCTTCATTTTACCATGGATAGCCTGAAGAGAACAAGAGCAGGTCCTGCACTGGGATGGAGGATGCTGGTGTATTCTGGAGAGATTAAGAATCAGCTTGATATAGGGAGAAAATGGAGCACCCTGTAATGAATGTCTTCAGACCCCAATGATGTGAATGTGGGAGAAAATTTTACTATTGTGCTATGGATGTGTCATAATATGCATGACATATCTACTTACAGGAAGTCCACTCCCTTATATTTGACACATTTGAATTAAATTAATGGGTGCTTCCCATCATTTATTGAACGATGTCGACACACTCGCTCCAAGTGTGGGTGTTAGCCTTACAGGAGGTGCCTGAGGCCTGAATCGTCTTGTAGGTATTTTTACAATGGCGTCGTTTGCGTGAACATTCTTTTCTTATTTTTGCACTATTTTAACAGAACTTCTTTGCTAATATAAATTACTCAGGTTTTGTTTTAAATGTTCCTACAGTAGAATTAACCAATGGAAAGCAGCCATCAGAATGTTGCATCCCGCCACCCAAGGAGGTGAGTGAACTGGAATGGAGAATGATGATCAGCTAAAACTTTGGCTGAGCCAATGATACTGGTTCTTTCCAGTAACAAAATTAATTTATGGTACACAATCTTATCCTGACAAAACAAAGCATCAGAGTCTCGAGCAGATCTTCTCATGTTTTGGACCAGACGTGTCTGTTGAATTGGTGCTGGGAACCTGGCAGACACTGAAATGTTTATGGCACAGTAGGAATTGCTGAGTCTTTATGACAGCCTTCCATTGTTCAGTTTAATCACACTATGGTCCACGACAATAGTTAACAGTACTTTTTGAATTCAAACACCAGGTAGACAGATGAAGCTCATAAAACACAGTAGAATCTATAAATAGTTACAAACAGCCACCTCTAGGGGACTGCTGACCTCGTGATCTCTACTCACCACACACACATTTTGTAAAACACTCACTCTAAATACACTAGCTTGAGTCTAAATGCCTCTCCTTTTAACCAGTGCTTAACAATGCATATTCTGCTTATGAAGATAACCATCCCTTTTGAATTAATACACTTTCATATTAATTAGCACCTCCAAGTTTATACATATGTATGGGCTCCTGGTGAGCAACATTAAGTGTTTAATTTTTTTCACTAAAAATTCCCTTGATCTAAACATTAATTCATGCAGATTTTCTGGAAGAAAAAAAAGGAATAGAAGAAAAAAAAAAACATTGATGGCCATAGTAAAAAAACCATGTTTAAATGTACATGCGAGTTGACTTGTGTCTTCATTCTCAAGATTAGGGTCTGCCTGAACTTGCTTACATGTGATTTATTAGCAGGACTTTCAGTCTAGAGATATATCTATATATTCCTCCCTACCTGTACGTCTGGGATATACTTTAACTGGGTAATCTTAAGATTTTACAATCAAACCTCGTCAAAAGACTTTTGAAACTATTTTTTTCACTGGGCAGATTTCTTGTTACACAAATTTCTCTACTAATAGCACTAATAATTTAAATCAAGGGAGGTTGCTCAAGATTATGAACATCAGATAGCAAATATTTCCTGCCCAGCCAGCATAATGTAGTTACACCTAAATTTCCCCAAGGAGATAAATAAAGTTTATATTTATCCAAAGTGGTATTTATAAGTAAATAAATGTCAGACTTAAAAGGGACCACATTTACAAACCTGAATCCCAGAAAAGAACTTTGTATCCTTAAGCAATTAACTTACCTTATCTTCACTTCTATGTAAAAAATAATAGTGTTAAGCTGTAATCTTTGAACTGGATAAAATCTATTTCTAGATAAAAGTGTATGGTAAGCAACAACAGAAATGTCAAAAATTGCAATTCTAATTAATGAAGTTTAGAAGGAAAATTCAAGAAGTTTTTATATTATCCCTAGATATTTATGAAAAACTTTATAAACGAGCATTTCATATATTTTTAACCTTCATTTCTTCTGTAAAATCTAATGATGGGATATGATCTCCACCCAGTCTCGTCTTTATAACGTCCAAAAGAGGGATCGACATCTACACGACTGCCTGCCTGCACAGGCCTAGCTACATGTACACTACAAACATTAGCCCCACAGTCCCTTAATTCAAAATAAATATTAAAGGATGCCCTTAATCCAGAAGCTCTACATTTGTAATCATTATGGTTAGGAATCTGTGCCCATCTTCTGAAGGTCTTGGGTTCAAATCCTGCGATTGCCTCAGTGATCAAGTGAAGAAGGGCCCGTAACTCAAAATGCTTCAGGGACTCTATATGACCTTGCTCTTTGATCTGCACTAGTAAGTGACTTTGAGCAAAAGCTTTCGCTAAGTAAATTAATGTAAAATGAACGATAGCAAAGATCACAATCAAGGATACACATAAACAGAGCACAAGTATGCATTTCAACATATAAAGGGATACACGCAGAAATGTGTCGTCGTAACAGCTTAAATGCATCCTTAGCTTATGCGCATTTGCAGTCTCATGACAAGAAATTGCCGAGCGTATTCCATTAAACTTCCATACCAGTTATGTGGATTCCTGATCATAATGTTATATGGTTATCATATACTGTATGATCCATCCATCTTCCAAATGCAAATTCTTGTTAGGGTCACAGGGATTATGCAATATGCAGAATGATAATATAACTATGGGGTGGCTCGCCAGCTCAGTAAGAATCACTGTTACCTTACACATGCACGGCTGGAGCTTTATTTCCAGTCTTCAGCGCTGTGCATGTGCAGTTTGCATGTTATCTGCATGTTTTCATGTTTTTCCACCAGGTACATGAGTTTCCACCTGCAATTCAATAATATGTATTTGATATCTCTAAAAGGCACATTGTGTGTGATTGTGTGTGAGTGTGTGACTTGCAAAGGGCTGATTTCCCCTCTTCACCCCAACCCAGCAGTGGATAAGCAATAAGGGATGGAATGTCATTATGATGTATGATCGTGGATGTCGGGATTGTCATCAACATCCAGTGTGCACAATGATCACCTCCTTAGCGGCAAATCACTAACCTCTGTGTGTAGACACACTAAACAAAGTATGATCAATAGTGCATATTTTTTACTGTTCTCAGTCCTATTGAGTTTTCATATTCAACTTTTTCAGAACTATTTTCAGGCTGGGACTCAGAGGAGACAGCTTGATGATGCAAATGAATGTCCGCTTTCCTGTTTTACACTGTTTTTTATGGTTGATACAGGATACACCAGGAATTATTCATAAGCTTCCACTTCCTCTGGGCATGTGAAATCCAATATTTCAATATCAAATAGTCAGATAAAAGAAAGTGAAGCCAAGGAGGCGTAAACTACATCGTATTTGAGAGGGCTCACTTTACTAAATAGGCCTGGGAAATTCACAGTGGGGACTTCTGAGGATCTTGTATGCATCATATAATAATCATTAAAATGAAGACGCAACTCTTCTCTATTAAGTGTCCCTACGGGTGTAGTGTCACTATCTAAAATATTCTATGAAGTGTGCCGATCGCGTGTAAACAGGGCGAGGGAATAGCAGTACATTCTTTCCTTTTGGTCAAAAACCAGCTTTCAGGGGTTCAAGCTTTTAAGTTTAGTCATCAGTCATCTTTCCTTGCTATCTTTTATTTTTTAGAACAGCAAATCTGAAAAGTAACCTATTTTATGACTCATAATATGCAGAATGGGGTCATATTTGAGTGTCTGGCCCTGACATTTACATTAACTCAGCGAGGAGCAACAGATTTTAAATTATTCTTCTTATCTCGGTCTGTACTATCTATTCATATAATAATGTGAATTTGATGATTATTTACAATACCGCTAAGCAGTCAATACGGCATTTTCAAACCGCTAAACAAAACGAGTTTGGGTTTCGTTTCCCTTTCTTGTGGAGCTGTTAAAACACAAGGATCAACTTTTCGTTTGACCATTGTATTGTTCTATTACTCATTGATGTCCCTTATGTGGTATACTGTATTTCACATGCAAACGAAAACTGCTTCTTCGCTTTCACAAGCTCTGAGTTAATTTCTGAGTTATTCGATAAGAAAATAAACCTAATTCCACAAGCAAGGTAAAGATAACTATGAAACAAACCAAGATTAAAAAGGACAATTTTTAAACAAAACGACATTGTTTATCGTAACAAAAGCTCGTAAACTATACTTACTTTCTCATAATCTATTCTATACCTTTCTCCTCAGGACTACAAATACCAAAAAGCTAAGGCAACCGGAAGTTCGCCCAGAATGATCGACCAATCAGCTGCACCAGTATCTTTGGCCGTTGAACTGGAGTTCCTGGTCGGGGGAGAGTGCGGGAATATTCGAGTGACCAGCTCATCAGGAATAACTTTAAGAAAACGAGTTATATTTCCGTTCGTGTTCCTGTAAGACTGAGGTATACTTCTGCTTCTCGTTGTTAACTAGACCAAACAAGACGCAGTAAGACAGAAAAGCTCACCGTGCAGTTCAGGATATCCGGACATACAAAATTAGTAGGCGTTTAGCTAGTTGTTAGCTTACACGTCTGGTCAGTCTAGGCCGCGCGCTCCGCCACTAGCTAGCTCGAGCGAGTTAACCGAGCTGACAGGGTGCTAGTAAGAAAATAATAATAATAAATTCCATAGTAAATGAAACTTACGGTTGTGTTTTTCTTGTTAGCTGGCTACGAAGCAGAAAATGTATTGTAGATAAATCCGGAAATGAATTCGGGAAATATATACGTTGCACAGTGTGTTCATATAAATAAGGTGTTTATTTCTGCGGACCTACCTAATGACAGTAAATCAGCGATTAATTCAGAAACGTCTTCATCCAGAATCGCGGGTTGCTTTGTTTATTGTCATTTGTATTATCCTCTGTAAGAAAAATTGAATAAGGAAAATTTTCAAAGCTGATCTGAAGTTTTTGAATAAACCACCCCTCTCCTCTTCAGCTTCATCATGGCCCCAAAGGCTGCGCCGAAGCGAAAAGCTCCAGCGAAGAGAGCCCTGGCGGAATCCTTTCCTGCGGGGGAGATCTTGACTGACACAGTGAAGAAATCCTGGATGCTTGGTACTCCCATAGGTCAAGGCGGCTTTGGCATGCTGTACTTGGGTAAGGGGAGCCTCATCGCGGTTTCACCATTACATTTTTATAAAGGTTTCCCGACAGAGAGACTTTAGGCAAAGTATTGCTCTTGATGTAATGGTCATTAACCCTGGTACTGGTGGGTTGTAGTGTACACTGTGTGTGTATGCACACAGAAAATTATATATATATATATATATATATATATATATAATCTTTAGTAGTGTCCGTTTTGGTATTGGCCTAGGATCACACCGCCTGATGACAATCAGTATATGTGCACTAGTAGACTGACTTTTAGTAGACTGAGAACCTGCAAACGCTGCAGCACACCAGGACCAGCGTAAATCCCCAGACTCGTAAAGAATCGTAATCGTAAAGAAATGTGGAAGCTTTTGTTTACACTGGAATCAGATTAATACACACCTGTTACACCTGTCTTATTTCTTAGCTGGTGAAGGTGATGGCAAAGCTGTTGGAGCGGATGCTGGTTACGTTATCAAAGTGGTAAATTGGCATTCATTTATACATAAACCTACCAGAGTTTTTTTTTTTTTTTTAAGATGTAAACCAAGTTGAGAGTAAGGAAACTGGCTTTTAGTTTCACTAATTTCTAGGAAGTGTCCTGTCTTAAGTTGTCAGATTCCCAAATCATTGCTGTTGCTGTGAGCAGGAACCTAGTGAAAATGGGCCACTCTTCTCGGAGCTGAAGTTCTACATGCGTGCTGCCAAGCCTGATCTAAGTAAGCCCACTAGTCCCCCGCCACTGACTTGGACTGTTGAACTGCACTGAGAATAAAACGTCTTATAAAATGTAAATATCTGGCTGTTCTTAGGCTGGTGCTCCTCAGCTGCAGACCCTCTGTAACAAGGCACCCATGGCTGTCCTGTGAGACTCACTGTCGAAATTTTGCTTTTCAGATATTAAAATCCCAATTTCTGTCTCCCTTGGCAATTAAATGTTATATTGCCAAGGGATGTTCATATTTTATTCATTAGAAATGTAATGTTTGCAAACATTTTGTTCCACCAGTAGCTTTGCTCACAGCCAATTGCAGTGTTGCCCCTATGGGATTTACTTATTACGTTGGACACCAACGCATTTCACCAAGTTTATTTTGCATAATTTGTTTAATATGAGTACCTCCATCTGAAGCTTTATTTATTGTTAGTTTGTCAAACGCTTTAAGTGTGTCGGGGTCCTTAGTATGCAATAAAATGTGTCCTCATGTTAATTCAGGTAATTGAAATGATTGTCTTTTTATAGAGTTGGCGAGCTGTACTTTAATGTGAGATTTAAATGAGTTTTTTTGTCTTTGTTGTAGTTCAGGGGTGGATGAAGGCTCACAAGCTGAAGTACTTAGGAGTGCCCAGATACTGGGGATCAGGCCTTCACCAGAAGGGAACGAAGAGGTTCATTTTTGGCTTATTGAGGAGTACTAATACGATTTAGTTTGATAGATTGGAGTTGTAATATATCGAATCCAACCCTGAAAAGCTGCTGTTGTGAATATTATGGGAATTTACCAAAGTATACATGCACAAATATAGACAGTTAATATCTTTAAATGTCACTCAACATGCTTCCTCCAGGTATCGGTTCATGGTTATGGATCGCTTTGGAATGGATCTTCAGAAAATCTTTGAAGAGAGAGGCAAGAAGTTCCCAAGGAAGCTGGTTCTGCAGCTTGGACTGAGGCTTGTGAGTAGGCGAGGGCCAGAGTCCGTAGTTCTATGTGTGTGGCACATTCTGAGAGAGAGCCCTCTGTCATAGTTTGTTTTGAGAGCTATGTTAGGAATAAAGAAATGTCTAGTCTGTTTTTGTATATGCATGCATGCATGCATGTATGTATGTCTATATGAAATGTGTGTATTTCTATGCACATGTATGTATATTTCTGTATGTAATGTATGTGCACCTAATTTCAAATCATATTAGGAGGCCTTTGGCGGTGCTTGTGAGTAAAGTCTTCCGCTCTCTTCTCCAGATTGATATTCTTGAATACATTCATGAACATGAGTATGTGCACGCCGACATCAAAGCGTCCAATCTACTTGTTTCCCACAAGAACCCCAACCAGGTCAGGCTAAATGACAGTAAATGAAACTCTTAACAGTCAAACTTCATATTTTGAAATTTAAAGCTACTTTTTATATTATTGGTAGATGTAGTATGTCAAATATAGTGTATATATATATACACAATTGTTTATATAGTTTGCCCTTTCCCTTAAAAAGTGATAAAGATTGTGCTTGGTGTGGTATTTGAAGCAAATGTGCCATTGAGAAGGAGTATATTGTTAATCTCCTGCTTTTGAATTGCACTTTGTAAATGACATTTATTTTATTAATACCTTTGCCCTCCATCCTGTCAGAGGAGGCATGAAAGCTAGTATGTGTCTCTCCCCCTCATTTTCCTTCTTTTCTATTCACTGAGAGGTTTACTTGGTGGACTACGGGCTGGCCTACAGATACTCTCCGGAAGGCGTCCCAAAGGAGTACAAGGCAGATCCAAAAAGGTGTCATGATGGGACCATTGAATTCACCAGCATTGATGCACACAATGGAGCGTGTAAGTCATGCTTTCATACGTTTTCACGTTTTTTGTGACTATGCAGTTAACTGACAGTTTTAACACGTGTGTTTGTATAAAATGTTGGGAATTGTGTAATAGTTCGTTAAAGCCCCTGTTGAAACTGTAATAGTTTTTTTTGTTATCGTTTATCTTCCTGCTCTTTTGGCGTGCCTAGCACTTTGTGTTTAGTGGCCTGCATGTGCACACTGGCCAGTTAAGCACCTTCCAGTGTGTCCCTGTAGCCCCCTCCCGGAGAGGTGACCTGGAGATCCTGGCATACTGCATGGTGCAGTGGCTCAGTGGACGCCTCCCTTGGGAAGACAATCTTAAGGACCCCCTCTACGTCCAGAATTCCAAAATGAAGTGAGTTGTCCTCATTATGATGCAGCCCCGGGGTCACAAACCCAGCCCTTAATTACCGCCTTGCCTGTTCTGTATGGGTAGATTGATATCCATAACTCTTCAGATGATACAGCATCCGTGCCCCTCTCTGAGCCTGCATGCCTAGCCAACGCTTCTCCGTTGTTGTTTGAATGCTTCTCATTTTCCGAGGTACTTTGTGTGACTCCAACGCATGGCCTGTCAGACTGCTTCCCCCCCACCCCCCACCCCAACAATACCTCTGTCTGTCTCGTGCACTCTGAATAATCACGGGCAGGAGGGCGTGAACCGCCGAGGTCGTTTGATGTTCAGTGTCTTGAGAAAGTTCGTCTGGAGACTGACTCCTGAAATTCCTCTCAGGTACAGAGACAACATCAGAGAGCTGATGTCAAAGTGCTTCCCCTCTGACGGCGTGCCAGGTGAGATTAATGCAGCCTCACGTGTCAAGTGTGCATCAGGTGTTGTGCATTCCATCAGCATCCCTCTGTGTGGATTTTGTCTGGCTATATCTCCTAAAAAAATCTAAATTAATAAAGCACACAGCAGGAGTTAAATTTGTATAAATGCATGCATTTAACCATCTCAGTTCTAAATGCTAAATTACCCTGATCAGATAACTGAACTCTGAGGATTGTTTATAATGTTAGAACAATTGAGTAACCTTCTGTGTACCTTTCTGTGCCATGTATAGACTACTTTTAGTCATAGTACAGTGTTTCCCCTGCCATTATATTAGAGGGGCTCCCCGCCCCCAAAACGGCACCTCCCGCCCCCCCTTGAAGATCAAGTTAATTTTATTTAATTTTATTTTCTATATAGCGCCAGATCATAACAGAAGTCATTTAAGGTTACCTTTCCTATAGAACAGGTCTATACATTGTCCTTTTATTAAACAAACTAAATAGTCTTATGTTATCTTATTTACACAACAGCTTGTCATTTTTGTCTCTACATGGTCGCTCAATATCGCGCATGGCGGAGTTCCGCCCCGATGCGCGCGCATATGCACACGCACACACACAGGTGAGCACACTCCCACCAGCGGACAGAGAGCGCGCATCTGAAAATATGTCGCGTCAACTGCCTGAAAAGCAGACAAAAATATCTGTGTTTTTTTAAACGCTCCCAGGGTGGTGAAGATAGCAACACTCGCTAAACTAGTGGCAACACTAAAAAGAAATGTTCAAAAGCTGTAAATCTAGGGGAAACACTGTAGTATTTTTTTAAAAATGGTACACTTATATTTTTTCGGTATTATGGAATATGCAGTTAGTTTAAACCATGCTTTTTCTATGCTGTAGTTACCCCAGCATACCTGACATTGGCACTCACGTTATAGCTAGACCTGAAACTATCCGATCTTAAAAGCAGGGATAATCCTGTGGATCGGTGCAGGGTAAATGGGACAGTCTGTTCGAAGCACTCACCAGTTTTTATGGTAGTTTTTTGTGCCATGTCTGCACTTCAGCTTAAACTTTTTTTAATGATCAGTGGCTGAATTTAGTTCCCTTATAATAATTGATAGTTTATTGCTCTCAGTGGGGAAATTCTCTTTATGCCTCCCCCAACTTGCTCTCTGTAGTGAGAGCAAGCTGGCTGCGAATGGCAGCCACCTGTAGCGGTTCCCAGGGAGCTGGGGGTCAGGGGCCTTAATCCAGGACCCACAGACGTGCTGAGGTCGGGCTTGAACCGGCGACCTTCTGATCACAGGCGCAGAGGCTTAGCACACCAAGCCACACTCTGCCCCCTTTAAACAGATGTGGTTCTAAGTCCCCTTCGAACCTGTGACCAGCGGGTTCTCTGTACCTCCATCACATACTTAGCTCACTATGCAGCGGTCCTTGTGCACTTGCTTGCTGGGAAACACATTGTCTTGTGAATTAAAGGCGTTCTTAAAGATTGCACTCTCATTGTGTACAATACCTATAACTATCATCTAATGAGTAAGAGAGCTAAATTATAGTAATAGTTAAAGTAGTACTTGAACCCTTTCATTTTTTGTTATAAGACCAGATTAGGCTCGCTGCATTGGGACTTTTATAATAAAAAATGCTTTGTCGAGTCCGTCCCCACAGACGCGGCGGTACTGAGCGGACACACAAGGCTGTTGAAAACACCTGCGGCTGCGAAAAGGCACTGTGTTCCGTGTGCTTTCGGCCTGAGAGGCACTTGAACTGACGCGCACCTCGAGCACAAAGCCTGTTCTTTCTGCAATTAGCACAAACCTGTTGATTGAAGGATAATGAGTGATAATTCATTAACACTGTTAATTTTGCACAAAACTTTTCACTTAAACCATTTTTTTCCAGTTTGCCAGACTTTTATACGTTTTCATTTGTGTTAAAGTGGGGAGCGGGATTTAATTAATGTTCGCGATCTCCCTGCCAGTGTCGGAGAGGTTGCTTTTGAGAAGCTAATGTAGCGTTCCTGGTTCCGGATTTTTCTTTTATTAACTCTCAGTTTGTTTTTACATTAAATCAGAGTGCTGTTTTAAAATGTTGCTGTCCCCCCGCTCTTCAGGTTGGGTGTACGTGAACCAGAACTCACAACATCAATTCTGAAAGGTTGCCATTGTTAGTGATGTGGCTCATATGGTTTGGGGAGCTTATCTCTTTTGAGTGTGTCAGATTTTTTGTTTATCTAGGTGGAGGTAATACAAAGGAATGGTGTACTACTAGATCATTATGAATGGATCCAGTGCTTGTACACACACACACACACACACACATATTCGGTATCTATATCTTGGTGGAGACTCCCCATTCATTTATATGGGCATAGTCCTAAATCTAACTATGTCAACCATAATCCCTACTCAGCCCTAAACTTAATCATAAGTAACTAAACAAAATACAAAACTTTTGGCATTTTTAGTTTTTTGATTGCATTCACAGATTTTTATAAAATTCAGTTCCTACACACACGTATCCCCCCCATTGTTTGGTTTTACAGAATGTTTGTGATTACATTTGATTTAATTACAAAGTTGTAATATAATTTGGTAAATGGGTGACATGTTAGTGTTCTCCAGGAATTTTAACAGTCAGGGGGCTCAGGCAGTGGTCTGGGTCACAAGAGATACCCATGGTGAGTTCTTTGCATGCTTTGCTCCTGTCAGATGAGATGGTGAAGTTCATGGAGGAGGTGAAGTCTCTCGGCTACACAGACAAACCAAACTATCAAAAGTTCCGTAGCATCTTGCAGGGAGGGCTAAAGTCCATTGGGGCTTCTGATGACGACAAGCTGGACTTCGCTTCAGTGGACGTCAAACCCAGCCGGACTTCTGTCAAGGTCTCATCTCCGCACTACTGGAAGGGTGTAGCTTGTGTTCTGCAGATGGGTTTACTGTGCCGTTTCCTTAGCTGTCATTTGGAAAAAAGCATTGGCATTTCCAACTGATGTCTCGTAATGTCATATATGCTTTCATATGGTTAATTTGAGAAGTTTTGCCTCAGCCTTTTCTAGCGCATTCTGTTAATGATGAACGACCCGTAAAATATCCTTAAATATTGCGAGTGTGGGATTGTTTCATCATGCATTTGTCATATTGTGAGCCTGCAAGAATAATATCCATGCAAGGTGTGACTGACTGATAGTTTGTAAGGTGTAAATTGAATGAGAAAGGAGTGCCTTCAGTCTCACTTGCATGCTGAGGTAGCTCAATGTGTACTCCCATGTGGACCCCCCCATCCTCATTGATTTTGTGTCAATTGCAGAAAGCACCGACGAAAAGGAAAAGGGCAGAGGAAAAGGTGGAGCCTGAGCCTGAAACTGAAACTGAACCAGATATAATCCCCACCAAGAAGGCGGCCCCCATAAAGAGGAAAAGTGAGGCGCTGTTTGTCGGTGGAGTGATACGGCCTTGGCTTTTCGTCTGCGCAGCGTGACCTCATGTGCTGTGTGTGTCCCTTAGCAGAGGTCAACGGCGTGAAGAAGGCCACCCCGAAGAAGAAACTGGTGGAGATGGGCACCCAGACGTCCCCCAGCCCGGCGAACGTGAAGAGGGGCCGAGGCAGACCCAAGAAGACTGCCTGAGCTGAGCTGGGCTTGGCTGTCAGCCCTAAGCACTGGAGAGCCTTAGGCCTGCTTTCTTTCCCCTAGCGATCTCTTCATCCACATTGTTTTGGGACTGATGTGCTGTTGCTATAGGTTCTTACCCCTACCCACATTCCTCTGTCTTTATTGACATTTTTATTTGGTTGCTTCACGCTGGTTTTAAGGTCCCCGCGATGAGCGGGTGCTTACACCGTGTCTCCCCCCACCCCTATGTGTTCTGTGTTCCCCTCTCATTCCTCTGCCCCGTGTGCCTTTACTTTCTCATGTGGGAGGGACTGGGTTTTGTGCAGCATAATATGTGCAGTGCTGGATTTGTTGCTAAACGTAGCACTTCCTTGCCAGTCACATGAGCAATTAGTTTAACCCTTCATATACTTCATGGAGCTATAACACCAAAATTATTTGAATATGTTCAGACTTTAGCTTTGCTGCTGATTTTAACAGGTGGTTTGTGTTCTGGTTTGTTCTCTTTATTGCGGGAATCAGGGCTTACTAACTACTGACTGTTAGTGGCTTCTTGTCACAGTTTGACGCCTACATTAGATGGCACACGCTGCCTGCCATGAGTCCTTGTTCGGGAATGAGGGCTGTGGTCTCCTGGCTGTGGTGTGTATAGCACAGCCAGACAGTCCCATTGCTATGGTTTCCAAATCCAGCCTCAAAAAAGGTGTTTTCTGATTCGATGGTGAATCAGGCGATAACAGAAACAAAGTTTCCCCCCCATTTGAAGCACTAAAGTGGTGAAGTCTGAGTACTAGTACTCTTTGTTTTGGTTGATAGGTGTGGTGCGTTTATTGAAGTTGTGTATTTCATTTGAATGTTTCTTTTGGAATAAAAATAGCGTTCTTTTTAATACCTGCTTTGCTTTATGATCACCAGATCTGGCATAGAATGTGAATTTTTCTTACATTCAATAAGAAACTTGCTGGTGCTCTGGTGTAAACATTTCTTATCAATGTATTTCAGTATCTATGTCCATTGTGGTGTGATTCACATGACAGGTCTCCTGACAAGGGGGTGTGTGTGTGTGTGTGTGTGTGTGAGTGGGTGGGGGTGTGTGGCGGGGGGGACAGGAGAATCCAGGCCTAATTTATCTTGGTGGCAATGCAACATTCTTTCTTCACTGATCTCTGGCATGGCTATGTGATTACATTCTAATGTAGTTTAAATAAGAATTTAAAAAGTAATGTCCAGCATTTATTTCTTATTATAAAACTTGCTAGGTATAATAAACTAATTTTAGTTGAATTTCAACTGATTTGTTCCTTGCATAAAAAAAGCTTTCTTTTCACTTAACTGCTACAAATACCTAGGTTTTGTGTGCCTTGTTTTAAACATGGAGCTTCGCTAATAAAAGTTCACAAAATGCATGCAAAGTTAATAACAGGCCACAGTGGTGTGAAATCTGTATTATAGCGCCTTTGCCTTTCCTGCATATTCCCTGTAGTGCTCTGGCTGGCTTTTTCCTCGTCGATGACACGTTTGAGTAAAATCAATTCCATTAATGCAATTAACATTGACATTACTAATGGAACAACAAACACTGCCATTGCCAATTTAATGGGGTAGCAGCAGTCAGCCCTATAGAGCAGATTGTAATTGAAAGTAATTGTTCCCTCCAGAGAGTTTAAATCCTTAAAGGTTTAAGGGCTGAACTGATGTCAGTGCTAAGGCAGCTTAGGACAAAATAGCTTTCAATTTACATCCAATCTTTCAGGGGCATTTTACAGACCTAATTACTCCTGATATATGCATGTCTTTGTCAAGTCACTGTGCTTGGAATATGGCTAATGTATACCTTTCACTGGGGACTTTCGGGTTATCAGCCATTTCAGCCGTGACAGTAATTTTAGGTCCTTTATCATTTTTTCTTCTCGTTTTCCATTTACTTCTGACTTTCTGAAATGCCGGGGGGGTGGGAGTGGGTGCGGGGGGGAGAGATACTCCACCACATGTATAGCCTTTCAAACTCACCTTTCCCCCGTAGTTTAGGTAAAAGATATACATCTCTTTTTTTTTTTTCAGCTCACACCACATCTGTGAGTGTATTTGTGTGTAAATATCGGATGAGCGTCTGCCTAGACTCGCGCTCTTATCGGTATTGTGTTCGCATTTCCCCCGTTGTCCTGCTGTTTCTAATCTGCAGCCACAGCTGTGAACAAAACTGGACAAGCGTTTATTGTCGCGGCAGGGGGGTGGCGCTCGACAAGGAGTCGCTTCGTGCAGCCGCTACCTGCAATTTTCCGAGGCGCGTCGCAATCCAGATGCGGTGCTAGGGGGGGGCTGAGATTAGAGGTCCTTGCCTCGTACTCTTCTGCGTCCTGGGCTGGAGTGGGCAGCCTCTGGCTGGCCTCATGAGCGGTGTTGACATCACGTGTGCAAAGAAAATAAACTGCATTAATGAGCGTGGTGATATAACAGATGGCCAAACACAGAGCAATAATAGGGTGGGGGGGGTGTATAATCAGGCCCCTGACAAGGATGACCTGTTGCCAGAAGCTTCTTCAACTTATTGTACCATGTGTAAATTATGTAACAGTGATATAATTTATTCCATATTTAGCATTTATAAATAGCACAATCATAACTGCTGTACTGTGTTGGGTTGCATATTGTTTAAATACTCCTGGCATTAGAACAGAGGAATATGCATTGCATAAGCACAGATGTCCTTTTTGTTCTGGGCAGTTTACATTTATTTTTATGTCGCATATGCTTTTGTCCAAAGCGACATACAAGTGCAGCTTATAGAGCAGGGACAGCCTGCGTCCCTGGACAGCTGGGGTTAAGGGCCTTGCTCAGGGGACCCGTGACATGATCATTCTGCCAGTCATACTGCCAGTCAGATACCACCCTGGGTTAAATGCCGGTTAGGGTTGCATGGTGGGATTTTTAAAAAAAAATATTTTATTGTTCAATAGTTTATGCTGGGCAAATGAAGTCTACCTTTGTCAAAATTTAGGGGATTACATAACATAGAGTCATTCCTGCCGATCAATCAAGTCACACTGAGCATTAACATAAATTTCCTCAAAAAGCCGTGGGGTGGCATTGGAGCTCAGCGGGTGGCACTGTTGCCCCACCTCCAGGGTTGAAGGTTCAAATTCCTGCTCTGTGTGTACAGATCATATTATCTCTGTGCTGTATGAGTGTCTTCTTGCAGTCCAGAGACCTCCAGTTTGAAGAAGCTGTGTGTCTAATTTGCCTGTAGTGTGTACCTTGGGATGGGCTTGTGTTCCTTCTGTGATCTTCCCCTGTGCCTCATGTGACTAAGAATGGGCTCCAAGCTTCCATGACCCTACATTACTCCAGAGGATTGATAGATTGGAAAGGAAATATGAGTATTGAGAAACAAATTAACCACCATTCAAATAATTGATTGTTTATCGCGTAACACTTAATATGAACTTCATATTCATAATGCATTCATAGAACATTCATAAGCACCATGTAAATATACCGTAACATCCTAACATACCTTAACATACATTATAAACATTATACAATTATAATGTTTGTTATTAATGTATACTACAACTGTTAAAGTATGTTAGGATGTTAATGTATGCTTACATGCTGCTTATGAATGGTCTATGAATGCATTATGAAGGTGCACTTAATGTTCTACAAATGCTAAATAACCGCACTGTGGAGGTGCAGTTAATGTAAAGCATTACCGTTTATTGCTTATTGTTTGAAATCTTGCTTCTGTTCAGGTCTCTTCTGTGTCAGCCTGGTGCCAAATTAAGCAGGAACCTCTTGGAAATGATAAATAAGCTTGGCGTTAAGCTTGGCGCATCTCCTGTGTCTTATGTTTTCTGTTCATGCCCACCTCAGCCATGGGAGACCCTGTGATGCACTATAATTTCATCCTGGCTCTGTTCATTGGGGACCCTTCCTGTCATGTCATTGGTCAGGAGTGGATGCAAATAACAATCCCTTCTGTCTGGGAACTGAAGATAATTATGGTCTCTGTCCTGCACAAAGTGAGACCATGAACCCTGGAGCCAAAGTAGGACAGAGCAGTGCAGGCCGGCTTGTGCTTTGACACCAGATCGGATAACAAATCACACTACACATATAATCCAGGCAAGTGTTAGCCCACAGAACAGGACTGAGGTTAGACATTCAATGAGCACACCCACTGTAACCTGGGTTGCACATAAAGGGAAAATAATAATTTTGCAGTGTCTATTGATACATTTAAAATTAATGACAGCATGGAAGGTCCTGTTCCTTTTGATACCGAAATTGTGATATTGAATCTCAATAGTCTCCATCCTGTCCATGCTATATTCTGTATAATGCAAAGCACACAGAAAGCGTTGGTCGAGTCATCACTGCTCGAGACACAATCCACAGACTCTCCCATCATTAAATTTGTGATCTGAATCACATCTTGCCCTGCTCATTGTGTATATATACATTTCATCATTACTGATACCTTAATTTGGAAAGATTTTTTTTTTGTTTTATCTTTTATCCATTACTGCATAAAGTGTTTGCAGTACCCATATATTTTTTTCTGATTAATAAAAACTTAATGCACATTGTTCATTTACTCAAGTTTTATACGTAGTTTATATTTAACCCGTATAAAATTATTTACAATTCCCCAGCCTGAAGTGTGATGCATATTTTTCTTGTCCTTTTACTTTTTGGACTGTCACGAAGACATTTATCCAAGGAAATTTTAAACTTTTAATAGAAGCCTGCTTTTAAAATGACACAGGCTCTTAGCTCCTGCAGATACCCAGGGACTCTTAGAAATATTTATCCGTGAAGCAGTGATTGTGTGTGGGTGTTCTCCTGGAGGGCGCCTGCAGACTGCCCTGGAGGAGGCCATCTCAGCGGGGTTCATACCCCTCCTTCCAGAACCACCCCACCCGCTCGTCTGATGAGCTTCTTTTGTGTCTCTGGTTCTGAAACTTGTCACATGAGAGCGCCGCTGATGCAGGGCCGCCCCCGCTTCTTCCACCAGCAGGATTTTAACTCTGCGAGCCAGGGGAGATGTGTCAACTTATTCGAGTCTTTGGTCTACTTCTTAATTGATGCTTTCACATTCCGTAGGTGGCTTGTGTAGACACTCGTCATGCACAAAAAAATAACACCGTCGCTCTCTGTATGCAGACTTTTTTTTCTTTTCTTTTTTCAAGGGCTCTCCAGGGGCTTGTTCGGGCAAAAAACTCTCCCTGAACCCAGACAGGGTCTATGCATCTCGGATCCCAGCCCGGGTCTGGACCGTGTGGCGCGCTAATTGTCACATGGAGCCCTCTGCTGGCTGAAGAAATTGGGGCCGTTGCACCAAGAAAGGCAGGAGTTAAGGCTGTTTTCACACCGGTGGGCTGGGCAGGACCAAGGCAGAACTGTCTGGGGTATTGTTTGCGAGTGTGAACCTGCACCAGTGTTTGGTGAAATCTGATGATGAAGGTGGTGATGAGAAAAAGCAAAGGGCTGACCTGAAATGATTATTCATATAGTCCCACGTATCACCATATGGAACAAACAAACAAAAAACTGCATTTGTGAGCAAGATTTATAATGATCAACTAAATGGAAAGTGGCCTCACTAGTCCATTCCCTCCCCTTATGTCAATTCAGGGACCGTTCTGAGGTCTAAGGATATGTTGGGCTTAGCCCACACATTGTCAGAGATCATAGCACCTCCCATGTGGCAACTGCAAAGAAGTGGACTTGATTTCCAAAGTGATAGACCCAGCTATGCAGGTATAGAATATTTTGGATTGCCAAAAACAAAGCAATTTTCCATCTTGGACAGTTGAGGATGGCCCAGGCGCTCACAGATTGCCTTGAAAAAGATGGTAATGGGGTAACAAACCTCAGCATTATGTCCCGGAATGGTTCGACAGTTAGAAGAAAAAAAAAAAGAGTGTACCCTCCCATGTGTTTGTCAGCTCCCTGCTAGAGTACGCGTGGTTCGGCTGACCTGTCAGGACTGTGCAAGCCACTAGCTGCGGCAGGGAGAGATCCTTTGCTCCCCAAATTGGCGCTTAGCTCTCCTCCGCGGCACGGTGGAATTGACGGGGAGGTGAAAGCACTTGTCATCGTCTGCCACCTTCCTGGTAGGTGTGGGGTTTGTTGCAGCCAAGTCTGACACAGAATTGTCAGAGGCAGTGTTCTACAAATCTCCGGTAGTTCTACAAATCTCTGGGAGCACACTGAAAGGTGTCTTCAGCACGCTCTGTGTTAACGGCCAAATGAGCTGGCTGAGGAGCTCATATAAAAGCAGGGCATCTGGGCAATTCGTCTGAGATAATCAATCCACCTCTGGCTCGTGAAACATCTGTATTTTTCATCTGTCCGTTGAGACGAGGAGGCGTGTAAGCAGCCAGCCCACCTGCTCCCTGGGTGGCTATGAAC